TTTTGCCATCTCCTTCTTGCTTCCCCCATTTCCCCTTCCACTATAAAATCTCTTTCAGGCCTCTTTTATATCAGATAATTTATCCCAGTTTACCTCTTCCTTTTCCTTTCTCTGAGTGAATTCTTTCTTAACCCTTAATGTTATGTTATTATATTTCAAGCCTTCCAATCCTTTAATGTCAAAACTACTCAATCTTGTGTTATCCTGACTGTAGTTTAATGACATAGATCTTAAGAATTACAAATATCATCTCTCTATGTAGGGGTATCAACAGTTTAACCTTATTAAATAAGTCATGATTTTTCTTTCCTCTTTACCTTTTTATGCTTCTCTTGAGTCTTATATTTGAAAATCAAATTTTCTGTTCAACTCTCGTCTTTTCATCAGGAGAGCTTGAAAGTCTCCCATTGCGGGGCAGCTAGGTATGGATAGAGCACCAGCCCTGGAGTCAGGAGGACCTGAGTTCAAATCCAGCCTCAGACACATAATATTTCCTAGCTGTGTGACTCAGGGCAAGTCACTTAATCCCAATTGCCTCACTGAAAAAAAAAAAGTCTCCCATTTCATTGAATGTCTCTTTTTTTCTCCTGAAAGATTATTCTCAGTTTTGCTTAATAATTGGTTCTTGTTTGTAATCCCAGCTTCTTTGCCTTCTGGAATATCATATTCTAAGCCCCATGATCCTTTAATATAGAAGCTGCTAAATCCTGTGTGATCCTGACTGATTCCTTGATATTCAAGTTATTTCTTTCTGACTGCTTGCAGTAATTTCTCCTTGACCTGAGAGTTCCAGAATTTGTTGATAATACTCCTGGGACTTTTCATTTTAGGATTTCTTTCAGGAGGTAATCAATGGATTCTTTCAATTTCTATTTTACTATCAGATTCTAGGATATCAGGCAGTTTTCCTTGATAATTTCTTAAAAAGTTGTCCTTTTTTGGCTCTTTTTTTTTTATCATGGCTTTCAGGTAGTCCAATAATTCTTTTTTTTTTATGTTCCTTTTTTTTGGTGACGCAATTGTGGTTAAGTGACTTGCCCAGAGTCGCACAGCTAGTGAGTGTTATGTATGTGACTTCAGATTTGAACTCAGGTCCTCTTGACTCCAAGGCCAGAGCTCTTCCACTATGCCACCTAGCTGCCCCATCTAATAATTCTTAAATTATGTCTCCTGGATCTGTTTTCCAGGTCAGTTGTTTTTCCAATGAAGTTTTTTACACTTTCTTCTATTTTTTTCATTCTTTTGATTTTGTTTGATTGGATCTTTATGTCTCCTAGAGTCATTAGATTCCATTTGTCCAATTCCAATTTTTACATAATTGTTTTCTTCAGTTAGCTTTTGTACCTCTTTTTCTATTTGGCCATTTGTACTCTTTAAGGAGTTGATTTCTTCAGTGGATTTTTGTACATCTTTTCCCATTTTTTTGTGCTTCCTTTACCAAACTGTTGACTACTTTTTTTTCATAATTCTCTTGTCTAACCCTCATTTCTTTTCTGAATTTTTCTTCTACCTCTCCCATTTGATTTTTAAAATCCTTTTTGAGCTCTTCTAGGAGGACTTTTTGGGCCTCAGACCGATTCATATTTCTCTTTAAGGCTTTGCATGTAGGTGTTTTGACATTATTGTCCTCTTCTGAGTTTGTATTTTGATCTTCCCTGTTGCTGTAGTTGCTTTCTGTGGTCAGGCTTTTTTTTTTCTTTTGCTCATTTCCAGCCTATGTCATTATTTAAAATTAAGCTCTTCTCCTAGGGGTACAGGAGGCACTATCCCAAGCTTCTTGCTCTGAAGACCTTGTGCACCCAGGCCTCTGGAACTGACAGGTGGCTTGTTGTGCAGGAGGATTCAGGCCTGGTGGCTAGCTTGTTTTGCATGTTGGGGTGGGGGAAATTGGGGCTGGTGGCTGGCCTGTTGAATGGAGGTAGAGGCCTTATAGACGGCCTTCTGTGCTTCTGGCCTGCTGAGCCAGGACCAGGGCCTCAGTTGCTGATCTCTCTTAGGACTAGGGTTGCCCAGATACTGCCTTTGCTGGGCTGTGTTCTCCTCTTACCCAAGTAAGATAGGCCTTCCTATAGTCCTTCTAAGTTATCATGGGCTGGAAAATGGTTTCATCCTGTCCTTTTGTGGGTTCTGTCACTCCAGAATTAGATTTGAGGCTTGATTTAAAGTTGTTTCAAGGGAAATTGAGGAGAGCTCAGGCAACTTCCTGCCTTTTCTCTGCCACCTTGGCTCTGTGTCCTTCAGTGTCACTCTTTGTATCTAAATCACGTAACCTTTTTGAGCTTTTTCTCAACACTTTGTCAAGGAATTATGTCTTGTTCTTGCCCCAGTAACTGGGATCTTTGGGTTTATTCCTAGGTTACTGTGCTCATTTACTTATGTGTATTGTGTACCCAATCTATTCCACCCAGATCAACTTCTCTATTTCTTACAAAGTACCAAATTGTTTTGGACAATTACAGTTTTGTAGTATAATTTGAGTTTAGGTAGTATTAGACCCCCCTTCCTTCTCATTTTTTCTTTTCATTGATTCCCTTGATATTCTTGACCTTTTTGTTCCTCCACATCATTTAATTGGTATGGCACTGAATAAGTATATTAATTTAGGTAATATTATCATTTTATTTACATTGCCTCAGCTTAACCTTCCCTAATTTTAAAAGACTCCAAAGATCTATGTGCTATACCCCTTTTGCATTAATGAATTGAGAGAGATGCCCATGTTCCAGTATTCCTGATCCTATTTTTTTTTAATGCAGTCTACTCACTAGTTAGGTTTGGCATAAAGACATTGAGGAAAGAAACATTTAGGCTATTCTGGAATTCTTATTAAGGCATAGACAATCCAGAAAAGGACAGGAGCATTCAAGTATATCTTCTCTGCTATTTTCCAGCCCCATCTTAACTAGCATAATGTTGATCACAGATGAATGGCCCAATAAAAACCTACTTTTAAAAAAAATCTATTTAGATTTTTTTTTTGTTTTTGGTGAGATTACCCCAGTTGGAGCTCCTGTGAATGCAAATGAGCTCCTTAGCTCAGTCAGTGAATTGCCTGGGGCATTGAGATATTAGGCATCTTGCTCAGGGTGACATAGACAGTATGGGTCATAGGGCTGGACTCGAACCCAGGTCTTCTTGACTCTGAAACCAGACACACTATACTCTTCTTCCTCTCATCTATTTAGTACCATTATAAAATTATAAACACATGCTATAATAATGTATGATAATAGTTCACATGTATGTAATACTTCATATTTACAAAGCACTTTACTCAAATATATGAGATAGGTAGGCAGGGTAAATATTGTCATCTCCATTTTATAGATGAGAATACCGAGGTTCAGAGAAGTTAAGTGACTTATCCAGTGTCACACATATAGTAACTGGTGGAAATAAAACTCAAACATGTCCTGCAAAATATACTCCAAATTACTTTGCCCATAGTTGGTAACATAGCAATTACCTAATAATTTAGGATGATATCACATGCTCAGATATGCAACCCCTCCCTGACTTCTTATAGGATAATAATTATCCACTGATTGGTGTACAAGGGACCATTGAGATCAGCCTTTTATCAAGGGGTCCATGCCATCCAAGAAAGATTTTTTTGTTCTCTTTTTAAAGCTCTTTAAGTTCCATGTCCTCTGTTAGTGACCTTTAATATTTTCATTTGGAGATCAAAATGTCATTCATCATTTATTTACTCAATCAACAAATAATTAAGGTAAGCTAGGAAAGGCATTGTGATAGTTAAAAAAACAAACTAAAAAGATATATAACTACAACTAGAAAAAATATATATGATGTATGTATTATATATGGAGGCTCTTAACATACTATCTTTTCTATGTACATTTTGTCTCCAAAATTATATGTGTGTATATATATGGATCAAATTATATATACATATATATGTATATATATAATAGATATAATTTTATATTATATATTATAGAAATATATAATGTATGGTCATATATATATAATTTCATCTATGTAAGCCTATTATATAGGAAGCTAGGATAATGTTATTGTTTCCATTATGCAAATGAAGAAACTAATGCTCAAGATATTTAAGTGACATGCCTATGGTCACACGATTAGTAAGTGGTGGAGTCATGACTTGAACCTAGATCTTCTAAATTTAAATAGTCTTTTCTCTGATATACCTTAGCTCCTATACTATAGGGCATAATGTCATGTGTCCTAAGAGATGCATAAAAGGCTATTAAAATCCAAGATAGGTAAAGATTACTTATGTTGTATGGAATCAGACAGGCATAGAACAGAGGGACATGTACAGGATTTATAGCCAGGTGACCTTGGCTTGAATATGACATTAATGACTTTGATATGACACTAATTAGCTTGTGAGACCATGGGCAAACTACCCAACCTTTCTCAGATTCTTTTTTTTTCATGTATAAAATAAATATAATAATCATACTCCCTATCTAAAAAGGCTGTTGTGAGGAACATCAAGAAACAATAGAAATGCAAATAATTATTATTTATGATGGAGCTAAAAAAAGTTACTTTGCATACTGTTCTCGAGGAACTTTCGATAGAATCCTGGAGTGAAACTAACATCAAATTGGTCCTGAGGCCCACAAAGTTGCCCTGCATTTTAGGAATGTGGCTTGGGGTGCCCACACTTTAAAGAAATAAAGAACAAAAGGCATATTTTTAGCCAATTTGTTAGTCATTGAATAGCAGTAGATTTTAGTTGCCTCAAGAAAATGTCGTGTAGGCATGGGCCATTCCCAAAACCTGTCTTCCTAATTTTATCTCTTACTTTATTTACTCTCTTCCACCTCCAGCTTTTTATTTCATCTTTTCCAGATTCTATACTTTTTTCTTTTCTGTGTCTATTTTTGTCTCCACTCATCCAAATTCTTCAACAAATCTTTGGAGGATTTTTAATAATTTTGTAGGTTTCCTCTCTTAAATCTATGTTGTAGCTGCTAGATTTGTTCTCTTTTTGTTTTCAATAGGGCGATTATTATAAAGCAAAACTATGGTACAATGAAATATGTTTAGCTAACCAAGAAGATTTTGAAGGTAAATTTCTATCAAATACATTTGTATATATATTATAATATAAATAAAAATAAGAGTTCATAATAATGATGTATTACTATGCTTGAGCTACTTGGCAAAATCTAAACTCTTGAGTATTATTCACTAATAAGTACATATTGTAAGATAGTTTTGAAGCTTAAAAATTATAACCCCAAATGCATTAACTACTTGAACTGTACATCCTTTATAAATGTAGATTATACCTATAATTTGTCACTTTCTGCTTTCCAGATGATTACATTGCTATCACCTTTGAAAAAAGTAGGAGCATGAGTCAGGTAAACTATTGCCTTAAAAGAAGGTAAGAAATTTGGTTGTGAATGCTTTTTAAGAAGTAGGCAACCTATAATTGAGAAAAATGTCAGTTTTCCTGATTAGAAAGCTTATCATTCTTTGTTCCTAATTATGAAAATTTTGCACTAATTAGGTTAAGAATGTGTCAAGATGTTAATAAAACACTAACTAGACATATCAGGATATTAATAAAACACGAACTAACTGAATCTTTCCATTATGGAGTGAGATGGTGTGCAACACTCATTAGACTTGCTTCATATTTGCAAACAGGCTTAGTGATAACTCATGTTTTCAAGATCAAACCAGGACACAATAGAACAATTGTATAGTTCACAGGCTAATCAGGCTAGTGATGTCAAATAGGGCATCTTATATGAACTGTATCTCTAATTTTTCTTTCTTTCTTTTTTTTTTTTGGTAGCCGACTACTTGTTTCTATAGCTCTCCTCCATTTTCTAAGTGGGAAAGTTGCGTCCCCCGTAAGGGAAAACAAAGGAAAAAATATGAGGCTCATCTGTTGGCATTTCTTGTTGACAATGAAATGAAAAATTCCATCTACCTTTTTGAAAAAAAAGTATGTTCTGTAATCTCAAGGTGATTTCTTTTTTCTTTTTCTTTTTTTCTGGGCAAATCTTGTAGTGATGAAAATTCACAAAATCTTTTCCAAGTTTAAGTTTATGCTTCATGGCAATATTATGTAGTTAAATTGCAATTGCAAAATTGCAATTGCACAATTAAGATGAATAATTGTACACAAAATGTATTTTTAGACATTCATTATCTAGAATCAGAAATTTAGAATTAGGAAGAACTTGAAATCATCTAGTCTAACCCTTTCCAAAAATTGTATCCAGTTAGATCATGCTTAGGGCAGTTAGTTGGTGTGGTGGATAGAGTGTTGGGCCTGAAATCAGGAAGATTCCTCTTCTTGAGTTCAAATCTGGCTTCAGATACTTACTAGCCAAGTGTCCCTGGGCAAGTCACTTAACCATATTTGCCTCAGTTTCTTTACCTGTAAAATGAACTGGAGGAGGAAATGGCCAACCACCCTACTATCTTTGCCAAGAAAACACCAACTAGGGTCACAAAGAGTCAGACATGACTGAAATGACCAAACAAAAGATCATCCTTGCCAAAGTCTCATTCAACCTCTGCTGGAATTCACTATCCACTAAGGTAGACCATTCATATTTGGGGGAGTTCTAGTTATTAGGAAATTTTTTCCTTAGGTCACACATCAACTTGCATCATTGTAATTTCTATACATTGATCCAATTTGTTGTTCTTAAAGCCAAGAAAGCAAATCTAGTTCTACCTGACAACTCTAAAATACTTAAAGACAGTGATGTCTCCCAATTAAGTTTTCTCTTTTCCCAGGCTAGAGCTGCACAGTTCTTCAGCTGATGTACTGAAGATCAGTTGCAAAAGTCTGAAAATATATACAATGTGCCATACTCACAGACCTCTCTGTTTTGCAAAAGAGTGGAGTATTTTCTCATGCCTCTTCTTAGAGGCCATACTTTTCCTTTGCAATATTGTGACATTCACTTTTGACTGTATCAGGGTGGTTCTTTTCATTTACATTGCTGTAGTTAGCTGATTTTCCAAAAGCCAGATTCAGGACTTTTTCTTTATCCCTATGAGATTTCATATAAGTCAACTCATTTATTTTTGAGATTTCTTTAGAATTCTGATTTTATCAGCCAACATATTAGCTATTGCTGCCAGCATTCTGCCATTTGCAACTTGATAAGCATGCTATGTATACTTTCATCCAAATCATTAATGAAAATGTGAAAAGAAGGGCAACTAGGTGGCACAGTGGACACAGCACTGGCTTGGAGTCAGGAAGACCTGAGTTCAAATACAGCCTCAGACACTTGACACTTACTAGCTGTGTGACCCTGGGCAACTCACTTAACCTTGATGGCCTCACCAAAAAAAAAAATGTTAAAAGAAAAAGACCAAGGAGAGTTCCCTTAGATACTGTACTAGAAACTTCCTTTCAGCTTTACATTAAACCTTTAATTTATCTTTGTGATATTATAATGGAAATAATGCAGGAATTATAGCCAGGATATACCTGAATTTGAGTCATAATTCTAACATTTGATAGATGTGTGACTTCAGGAAAGTCACATTACTTCTCTTAAGTTAAACTTCTAATCTTTAAAATGAGAACAACAAATTTGTAATACCCACCTCATAGAGTTTTTATAAAGAAAATATTTTGTAAAACTTAAAGCAGTATATTGTTTTACCAAGGGGATCAAGGTTTGAATTTCATTTCTTTCCCTTCCTCACTGTGTGACCAGAGGCAAACACTTCACTTTTTGAGTCACAGTTTCCTCATCTGTAAAAAGGGAATAATAATATTTATACCATCAGTCTTTGATCACATTTATTGTGAGGGAGGTCCTGTCTAAATGTAAATCAATTAATAATAATTATTATTATTTAGCTAGGCGGTACAGTGGATAGAGTGCTGGGCCTGGAGTCAGGGAGACTCATCTTCCTGATTTCAAATCCAACCTCAGAAACTTAATAGCTGTGAGACTGTGGGCAAGTCACTTAACCTTGTTTGCCGAAATAGCAAACCACTCTACTATCTTTGCCAAGAAAATCCTAAGTGAGGTCACGAAGAGTTGGACATGACTGAAATGACTCAATAAAACAATTATTATCATTATTTTTATTATCTTGTAAAAGTTTTCTTTTCAATCTCTTCATCACCACAATCTCATTCTTCTCATTGTTTTTCCTAGCAGGTTTCATATAGAAATCATATGGAGACAAGTCACTATCCTGCTATTCTTTAATATTTAACATTCTAGGGATTGTTGCATGGGTGGATAAAATAACAGCTTTATGTGGTTGAATGGAAACATTATAATATAAACTTATCTCCCCTATAGACTTATTGAAAGAATTCTCAGTACAACTCTATTAGCAGACAGGACAACAACTCATTCCTCCATGATTTTGATCTCCTTTGCTAGGTCTCTGTACCTGAATAGTTCTATGTTCCATATAGCCTGGAGATGATGATGATTTGGGATGGTGACATATATTAAAATTTTCTTAAGTTCTTTATAAATCTATGTATGCTATACCGGGGTAGGGTAATGATGTGCTTTGTCTGTGACAATGGTCGAGTTCAAGTTCAGTTTATTGGAGGAATACTACAGGATATTTTCAGGTCTGTGTTATTATTATCATTATCCCTTCACTTAAATTCTACCTGTCCTTCATTATGGCATGGCACTGACCCTGTCACCTCAAAAACTATGTATGACAGCAAAGCACACACTTGAGTAGGCATTACCAAGCTAGAAAGGGGCATAGTGATAAATTGTATGTGTGCCATTTAAGAAGAATTCTAGCTAAGTTTGGAGTGCCTCATATTTACAAGGTAGCCAGGAAGAGGTAAAGTGGCCATAAACAACTTACTATCTACTTGATCACCATCTACCTTAAACTTTGGGTGGATATTTTCATTGATGAAATCAATCCATGAAGTACTAAAGTATATTATCATCACAATCATCATGTTACTATTTAATTCTTCTCATCTTTTGATTGTGTCTTGTATTTCTTATCTTATCTATATTATCATGCCATTTCAATCATTCAATCAATAAACATTTATTATGCATCTACTATGTGCCAGGCAGCTAGGGAGTGCAGTGGATAGAGCACTAGATGTGGAGTCAGGAAGATATGAGTTAAAATCTGGCCTTAGACCTTTACTAGTTGTGTGACCCTGGGCAAGTCACTTAATTAACCCCATTTGCCTCAATTCCTCCTCTGTAAAATGGGGACATACTGGAGAAGGAAATGGCAAACCAGTGCAGTATCTTTGCCAAGAAAACCTTATCACAGGTCTATGCAGTCACAAAGAGTGAGATACAACTGAACAGCAATGTGCCACACTGTACTAAGTGCTGGGAAATCCACCAGTTCCAAATCTATCTGAATATAGAGCTCCAGAGCTCTCTGTCTTTTCCATAAGGATATGGAAAACTATCATTTCATAAAATCAAAATATTCTCTGCTCATGCTATTCCTCTGATTTTGCAACTTTGTCAAGAAAGTAAATGGGCATAATTTGGCATAATTTCTTCTTGCTAAATCTGTTCTGGCTCACAGCAATCATCATTTTTCTTTTTAGGCACTCATAAAAGTGTCTCACAGAGGTTGGGACAGTTTAGAAAAAATATTCCAACTATTAGGATTATCCTGGAGGACCAGATCCAATCCTACCGAGTTATTAAAGGTGGGAAGAAAAAATTTCAAGAGTGACTGAACTGGAATGGCTTATTTACTACAAAGACCACTTAGAAAGGGCCTCTAATTTTTATGGCCATGGTTAGCATCAAAGCCTTCTTATCTTAGTCTAATCAAAATAATACAAATTAATTGATAACAGGAAAGAGATTTAAAAGCAAAATTTCAGATCGGGAGTATATTTTTATATTGAGATGATTATTTTGGCCTAGTGGTATAGACAAGCATTTCCTGTCCTAATATATGTGTGTTTGGATGGTGGTGGTAGTGGAAATAAAAATAAGTAAAAATGTGCAATCTCATGACTTTTTTTGTTATATTTTGGGGTTAGGTATAGTTAATCTAAGTCATAACTTAATAGAGAGTAATAAATGTTACATTGGACAAAACTTGACATTACTCCATCTTAAGCTTAGTATACTTTCCTTGGAATGTTAAATAATTTTATTCTTAAAGTTTTTTACATTTTTTAAAATTCAATTTTGTATTTATTTTCAGTTCCAAATTCTCTCTCCCCCCTTCATCCTTCCTTCACCCATTGAAATAGTAAGAAGTATAATATGAAATAGTGCAAAATATATTTCCACATCAGTCATGTTCTGAAAAAAATACCAGAAAAAGAATGAAAGAGAAAAATAATATGCTTCAATCTGCATTATGAGTCCATCAGTTCTCTCTTTGGAGGTGGATGGTATTTTTCATCATGAGTCTTTTGGAAATTGTGGTTGATTATTGTAGTGATCAGAGTTACTAGGCCTTTTAGAGTTGATTATTTTTACAATATTGTGTTGCTGTATAAATTGTTCTCCTGGTTCTACTGACTTCACTTTTCAATAGTTAACACTGGTTTTCAGGTTTTTCTGAAACTATCCTTTTCATCATTTCTTACAGCCCAATAGTATCCCATTACATTCATATACCATAACTACTTCAGCCATTCCCCAATTGATGGGCATCCCCTGGATTTCCAATTCTTTGCCCATATAAAAAGAGCTATTATAGACATTTTTAACATATGAATCTTTTTCCTTTATCTTTGATGTTTTTGGGGTATAGACTTAGGAATGTTATTGCTGGGTCAAAGGGTATGCACAGTTTCATAGCTTTGGGAAAATATTTCCAAATTGTTCTCCAGAATTACCAGACTACTTTATAGCTTCACCAACCTTATACTGTATACCTATTTTCCTACTCACCTCCCAGCATTTGTCATTTTCCTTTTCTGTCATCTTTGTTGTTGTTGTTGTTGTTGTCATTGAGTCATGTCCAACTCTGTGACTGACTCCATGGACTGTAGCATGCCAGGTCCTTCTATCCTACACAATCTCTTGAAGTCTAAGTTCAGGTTTGTTGTTTCCGTGATACCATCATGGAAACTGTCATAATACTACATCTCATCCTTTCTGGCTGTTCCTTTTTCCTTTTGCCTTCAGTCTTTCCCAATATCAGGATTTTTTTCCAGCGAATCTCATCTTCTTAGTATATGGTCAAAATAGTTCAGCTTTAGCTTCAGTATTTGACGTAGTGAATAGCCTGAATTAATTTCTTGAAGTATTGCCTAATTTGACCTCCTTGCTGTCCAGGGGACTCTAAAAGGTTTTCATCAGCACCACAATGCAAAAACATCTGTCATCTTAGCCAATCTGATATGTGTGAGGTGGTAGCTCAGAGTTGTTTTAATTTGCATTTCCCTAATTATTGGTGATTTAGAACATTTCTTCATATGGCTATTAATAGTTTTGATTTTTTTCCTCTGAAAACTGCCTGTTTATATTCCTTGACCACTATCAATTGGTGAATGGCTCTTATTTTTATAAATTTGGTTCAGTTCCCTATATATTTGAGAAATGAGACCTTTATCAAAGAAATACTGCAAATTTCCCCATTTCCTGCTTTTCTTCTAATTTTAGCAGCATTGTTTTTGTTTGTGCAAAAAACTTTTTAATTTCATGTAATCAAAATTTCCCATTTTAGCTGTTGTGAATCCCTCTGTTGTCTCATTGTCATTATCTTTAATGAAATTATTGATTCTTTCTATGATTTGTTCTTTGTCCCACAAATTCTTTAGGATTAGGTTATTTAGTTTCCAATCTATTTTTAATCTATGCTTCAAGGGCCCTTTGTTGAATGCTTTCATATAGGTTTTCAGTTTTTTCACCATTCTTAGATTTTTCACTTATAATTTAGTTTGGTATGCTTTTAGGTTGTTGTGGAAGGGTTGTGTTGGGAGAACTCAGGAAAAATTCTGGTTTCAGTCTGCCATCTTGGCTCTGCTCCCTCGTTAAATAATTTTAAAGAAATATGCTTTCACCAACATAGATCACAAGCTCTCTCTGTCTTAGGGAATGGTTTCATGAATTGTGTAGCTGAAGAAAAACAATTTCTGACTTAATGGTCAATCTTATACACATAGTCTCACTACACTTAGGTGCGTCCTTGAATGATGGACAAAGTAGCAATATTTAAAACCTTCCAAATTGATAGGACTTGCTAGAAGTTATACTCTGCTATCATAGCTTTTTAAGAACCCAGAATAACCTCCACAGCATGATGAGATATCCTTGAGGGGATGAAGTGGGAGATGGATCAAAATGATAAAAAACATCTTCATGATTTTTCCTTTTTGTTTTGCTTTGTTTTTTTAGAATAATTCTTTTGTTGCTGTGAGGAGATTCAAAAACAAGAGTCCGATGACTGCTCTGAGATTTCCAACTTTTTTTTTCCCTAGTGAGTTTCATACTATTATTGGAATGGCTTTCCATCCTAGGACTCATTTTTTGTATGTTTTTGGAAATCAGGTAGGTATCCATGGACTTTTCTTGGGCTAATGAATATGTGTTTTATCCACTTCTTTCTTTCCCTCAGTGAATCAATTTGTGGGTACTTCTGGAAGGTTCACTCCCAGAAATAAAAAGGCAGAGCCAGTATTTGGATACCCCTATCCCTTACAATGCTTCAGTATTGCCAAGAATCCCTACACATGTAGGAGCAAACTGTTCCCAAGATAGAGCTCTTTAGGTTGGTATGCATCAGAATAGGTTTTCCTAGTCTGAATTTTCATCCCTGGAAGCACTTGGCAGGGTCTGAGATTACAGAGAAATGTCATTCACATTCTGTCCTTGCCAACTGGGATTTGGGACTCTAATATAGCCTCCATAATTTCTTACTTTTTTGCTGCAACTTCTATAAAAAGAAAAAATAGTGAATGACAGTGGCACCAAATGGAGGGTGTATTTTTGTCACTCCACACAGACTTTTACTACCTAACTTACACTGATCCATGCACACACATACTCATGATCAATAATTAAAATTTCAAAATAATAATGTTAATTCAGTCATCACTAATTAAGAATTTCTTAAAGCTATTGAACGAATAAATAAATAGATGAAAAACTATTAAATGCTTACTACGCATACAGCAGTGTATCAAGTACTAGAAATACAAATAGAGTGGAAACAGTTCCTGTTCTCAAGAAACTTACATTTTATTGAGAGGGACAATACAAATAGGTTCCAGCCACATCAGGTTGAAAGGTCCTGTAGTCTTTAAGATGACATGGCCATTTTATACCATTTGGTAATGCCAAGGACTTTATTGTTAAAAACTTAGGGTTTTTTTGGCTCTTCACTTGCCAGGCTGTGGGCTATGCTGTGATTATTGAGGAGGCAGTGGTTTCAGCACCTGCAGAAGCAGTTTAAATGTCCAAGGGAATGTTTCCCAAGATGATAGTTGGGTTAGGTTGAAATCAGGATTGGTAATTTGAGGAGTATTGCCATTCTTAGAGTTCCTGGACTTAATTGCTTATTGGTGCCAGTTGGTAAGTGGATGGTGTTGATGTTGGTGTTGGTCAGAAAAGTGAACACCTTCTCAGTGATGGCTGTGGGACCAGGTTAAAAGTGAGGTTGGTGGTCGTCTCTCCCAGTCCAAATTAAAGGCATGGTTGAATAATGTCATTCCCTTTCAACTTGCCCCTGAGACATCTGTTTTGTTTACCTATAAATAGAAACCAGTTTAGACAGCCTCTCCCCAAGGGACAGTTCTTCTGCCCTTGTCTCTCCTGGTAAAATTAAGGGTGGTTTGATTTCCCCCAAGGGGAGCACTAATTGGATGGTCCTGATTGAAGTGGTTCTGATTTTCTAGCCAAAATTACTAGATGCAGCTGAGGCCCATAAAGCAATTGACATTCCTTAATTGTCAGAAGGGTGTGATGATCCACACTGAAGACCAACCCACCTTTCCCAGCTGTAGCTAATTGTGACATTGTTCAACCATCCAGAACTCCTCTTTTCCTATGTTTCAATAAAGAGGATTTCCCCCATCTCTTTGTAGTTGCTGTCCTAATTGAGGAAGCCAGTCTTGACCCACTTTATTAACATGTGTCACATACATGTTAATAAACTGTTATCCTGATCAGAGAAAATGCACCTCATTGTGGCATCTTACTCACCACACAACATACTATCTCACCATTACAGTGCCTCACTGCTTCAGCCAGGCTGGCTTGCCTTCCCTGTGAGTTGTAGTTGGTCTACAGTTGTTGGGGATATCTGCCCCTTTCTCCACAGGGATTACTACCTTTACTGATGGTTACAAAGACCAGGCTTGAAGCAGGAGTGATTATCTGGTGGGCACCCATTTCTAGGACTCTTGGATTGAGGGTCTTGGGCTGTTTCCATGAGGGCCTGAGAGAATGTTGAGGTGGTAGCAATCTGATTTGTCTGATACATGCCACTTTCTTTTTCATTATCAGGGTGCCTTGTTGCTTCAACTAGACCTAGTTGTTTCAAGAGACCTCAATGGGCCCCTTAAACTCTAGACAAATCTAACTGAAACATAAACAAGCAAGTAGTCAAAGACCTGGATCAAATTTTAGAAAAGTTATATATCCTAGATCTCTGATGAGAAGCCAACAAAAATAGAAAGAATCATGCTTCTCTCAGTATTACATTGCATTTTTATAAAAACCCCCATCATATATTAGGACATAAAAACCTAAAAAAATACAAAAAATGTAGTATTGAACATGCTTTTTACTGACTACATTATCATGAAAATTATACCTAAGAAAGGGCCCTTTGTGAAAAGAATTTTTAAAATTTGGAGATAAAGTGATGGGATACTACTTCCAGACTTCAAACCGTATTATAAAACAGCAGTTTTCAAAACTATCTGGTATTGGTTAAAAAATAGAAAGACAGATCAATGGGACAAGGGGAACAAGGGAAATTCAGAAACAGTAGAACTAAATAGCAGTGTTTGATAAAGTGGAAAACATAAATTACCTAGGTAAAATTCTTTATTTGATTAAAAACTACTGGGGAGACTAGAAAGTAGTCTGGTAGAAGCTAGGCTTAGATCAACACCTTATACCATATTCCACAATAAGTAAATTTGTGACCTTAATATTAAAGACCATACTATAAAAAATTAGAAGAGAAGCAGATCATATATCTGCTATGAGTAGGAGATATATTTTTAATCAAACAAAAGATAGAGGCAATTAGGAAAGATAAAATAGATAACTGTAATGACTTGAAACTGACATGCCTATGCACAAATTAAGCCACCTAGGATAAGAAAGGAAGTGGTTAAATGGGGAAAAAAATCTTTGTACCAGTTTTTTCTGATCAGAGTTTTGTGTCCAAAATATAGAAACTCTCTCTCTCTCTCTCTCTCTCTCTCACACATATATATGTATATACATACATATAACTAATAGTCATTTCCCAATAAATTAATGATCAAATGTTCTGAACAAATAGTTTTCTTTTTTTCAGTCTTTTTTTATTTTCTAACATGTGTTTTTAAAACTTTGGGTTACAAATTTTCTTCCTTCCTCCCTCCTCACCTACCCTCATTGAAAAGGTAAGCATCTCGATACGGATTATAGATGTGTAGTCATGCAAAACACTTCCATAGTAGTCATGTTGTGAAAAACTAAGTATATTTCCCTTCATCCTATTCTACCCCCTATTTATTCTATTCTCTCTTTTTACCCTATCCTTCCTCAGAAGTGTTTGCTTCTGATTATCCCCTTCCCCAATCTTCCCTGCCCTCTATCATCTCCCTGCTCTCTTGTCCCCTTCACCCCTTATTTTCCTGTAGGGTAAGATAGATCTCCATACCCCATTGTGTATGTTATTCCCTCCTTAAGACAAATCCTATGAGAATAAGACTCACTCATTCCCTCTCACTTTCCCCTATTTCCCCTCCACGGTAAAAGACTTTTCTTGTCTGTTTCATGTGAGATAATTTACCCCATTCTACCTCTCCCTTTCTCCTTCTCCCAGTATAATCCTCTCTCACTCCTTAATTTTATATTCCAGATATCACCCCTTCATCTTCAACTCACCCTGTGCCCTGTATCTATCCATCTATCTATCTATCTATCTATCTATCTATCTATCTATCTATCTATCTATCTATCTATACATACATATAATTTTCCCCTCTCACTACCCTAACACTGACAAAGGACTCATGAGTTACAAATATCATCTTTCCATGCAGGAATGTAAACAGTTCAAACTTAATAAGTATCTTATGATTTCTATTTCTTGTTTACCTCTTCCATGTTTCACTTGAGTCTTGTATTTGAAAGTCAAATTTTCTGTTCAGCTCTGATCTTCTCCTCAGGAATGCTTGAAAGTCCCCTATTTCATTGAATGACCATTTTTTACGCTGAAGGATTATGCTCAGTTTTGTTGGGTAGGTGATTCTTGGTTGTAATCCCATCTCCTTTGCCCTCTGGAATATCATATTCCAAGTACTCCAGTCCCTTAACATAGAAGCTGCTAAATCATGTGTTATCCTGATTGTGTTTCCACAATACTTGAATTGTTTCTTTCTGGCTGCCTGCAATATTTTCTCCTTGACCTGGGAATTCTGGAATTTGGCTACAATATTCCTAGGAGTTTTCCTTTGGGGATCTTTTTCAGGAGGAGAGCAGTGGATTCTTTCAATTTCTATTTTGCCCTCTGGTTCTAAAATGTCAGGGCAGTTTTCCTTGATAATTTCTTGAAAGATGATATCTAGGTTCTTTTTTTGATCATGGCTTTCAGATAGTCCAATAATTTTAAAGTTCTCTCTATTGGATCTATTCTCCAGGTCAGTTGTTTTTCCAATGAGATATTTCACATTCTCTTCTATTTTTTCATTCCTTTGGATTAGTGTTACAGTGCCATGATTTCTCATAAAGTCACTAGCTTCCAATTGCTCCATTCTAATTTTTAAGGAAGTATTTTCTTCAGTAAGCTTTTGGACTTCCTTTTCCATTTGGTGCATTTTGCTTTTTAGGGTGTTCTTCTCATGGGCTTTTTGGACCTCTATTGCCATTTGGATTAGGCTATTTTTTAAGGTATTATTTTCTTCAGTATTTTTTTGGGTCTCCTTTAGCATCACTCTCAGTTTTTCCTCTACTTCTCTTACTTGCTTCTCAAAATCTTTTTTGAGCTCTTCCATGGCCTGGGACCAATTCATATTTTTCTTGGAGGCTTTGGATGTAGGAGCTTTGGATTCGTTGTCTTCTTCTGGTTGTATGTTTTGATCTTTGTCACCAAAGTAAGATAATATAGTCTGACTCTTTTTGCGCTGCTTGCTCATGATCCCGGCCAATTACTTGAATTATAAACTCTTTGTTAAGCTAGGGGTCTGTTTCCAGTGTGGAGAATGTATTGTCCTAAGTTTCAGGGGTTTTGTGCAGGTGTTTTCAGAAATAATTCTAGGGACCTGTAAATTTTCAATTCTTCCAAGGGGCTATGATCAAGGGCAAGGTGTTTACTCCTTTCCTGTCCT